AAGTGATTCTCTTGCCTCACCCTCCCAAGTAGGTGGGACTACAGGCGTCCACCACAACACCCAGATATCTTTTTGTTGTAGTTGTCATTGTTGTTTGGCAGGCCCAGGCTGGGTTCAAACCTGCCAGTTCCAGTGTATGTGGTTGGCACCCTAGCCGCCGAGCCAAATTTAAACATTTTATCCAGAAGCATGAATTGTAGTTCAGGATATATATCTGAAGAATAGAGAAGGTTGGAAGTTTTATAAAGGGAAGTATTTATGTATTACTGTCTTGAAAGTAAGTTCATTGGCACTAGTAGGAGCTGGTAACTATTTAAACTAGTTTTAGGGAACTGGTAAGTGTTTAGTTTTAAGGAGTAAGTTCATTGGAACTAGTAGGAGCTGGTAACTATTTAAACTAGTTTTAGGGAGCTCTCAGCAGCTGTTAGGTAAACCAGTTTCAGCTTACAGCAAGGCAGTTCTAGTCAGTAGCCAGGTTTGCAGAGAATCGATTGCAAGCTTCGCCCCTTAATTCTGTTTTAGTTGGATCTGGCTAGAACGACCCAGTTTTCGTGATCAGCTTTCACATTCTATGCCTTCCTATGATTCTTTTCTGTTGTTGTTTGTTTTGTTTTCTTTTTTGAGGCAGAATCTCAAAACCTGTTGCCCTGGGTAGAGTGCTATGGTGTCCTAGCTCACTGCAACCTCCAACTCTTGGGCTCAAATGATCTTCTTGCCTCAGTTTTCCTATTTTTAGTAGAGATGAAGTCTCACTTTTGCTCAGGCTGGTCTCGAACTTGTGAGCTCAAGCAATCTACCTGCCCTGGCCTCCCAGAGTGCTAGGGCCTTCCTATGATTCTTTAAAAAAAAAAATATTTTATTGATAGATAATAATGTATGGGCTACATATGATAGTTTTGATACATGCAACCTATGATTATATATTCTTCATGTCATTTTGCATATTTCATTTCACATGGTATCTTGGAACTCATCCTGTGGGTTTGTAGAGATCTTCATTCTTACTGGCTGCAAAATAACCCCATTGTGTGCGATGTCATCATTCAAGAGCCAGCCTTTGCTGGCAATCATGCCATTTCTGGAATTTTGCTCTTAGAAAAATTGTCACAATGGTGATCACATGGTGTTCTGTATTTATGTAGGGAGGTCAGTCATTAAAGAGAACAGCATTACTAGTTTTCCAGATAATCCTGTTTCCCCCCAGTGACTATGCATACAAGTGTCTGGATGTTGTGATATATGTCACAATTCATTGCTTGTCTATAACCTTTTGTAGGTTTAAAACACCTGCACATACAGATTCACACACATACCCCATGTGGGTAGGTCAATGTTGGGGAGGTGGAGGCTGGGGAAGCATGCCTGTGCCAAGGTCCTCACCTCTTCTGAGCCTCTCTGCCATCCACCATCATGGTAGCAGAGGGGACCTGGAGGTGCATAAAATAGGTCTTTTCTTCTTCTTTTTTTTTATTATTACTTTCTTTTTTGAGATGTAGTCTCCCTCTGTTACCCTTGGTAGAGTGCTATGGCATTATAGCTCATGGTAACCTCAAACTCCTTAAACAGTTTTCCTGCCTCAGCCTCCTGAGTAGTTGGGACTACAGGCACCCACCACCATGCCCAGCTAATTTTTTCAATTTTTAAGTAGAGACAAGGGTCTCATTCTTGCTCAGGCTGGTCTTAAACTCCTGAACTCAAGCCTTCGCCTCCCAGACTGCTGGAATTACAGGTGTGGAGCCACTGTCCCCAGCCACAAAGTGGGTTTTTTAGGATAATTTTGGTTAGTCTAGAGTACTAATGCCCAAGGTTGTTGATTTGGCTGCCACAGTGAAACTCTGTGTGTGGTGACTCGCACAGCTGAGAAGGAAACACGACCCCACGTGAATGCAATTAATCAATAAAAAATTCATTATACCTGCATAGGGGTCATTGCCCATAAGAAGCAGGCGACCTCCAATGACAGATCAAATGGGTCTTTATACCCTATTTCTGTGTCACAGCAAGCAAGCAAAGGAACAGAGGCTGCAGCATTGTAGTTAGCTTGGGGCGGGGGTATTACGTTGTTCAAGTGGGGGTACATAGGTTGAGAAAGTTTCCACGAACTCAGGACTTTCCTTATCTTTTAGCCTGTTCTCGGAATTTTCCCTCCTCACCCTTGAGGGGGCTGGGACTCAATGGCTTTTTCAAGGGTAGGGGGCTTGGTTATCACATGTGACCCTGAACAAGGCACCTACTAAGTGTGGGGAGTGGGCTGTGGCCAACAGAGCCCCCACAGCCTGGGAAATGCTCAGGGAGTGACCCCCAACCACTTCTCCTTCTCTATAACAACATTCTTTCTACTTGCCAGAAGTCACGTAGCCCACTCATACTGTCCTTGTTATCGGCAAGCTCACAGTTCACAGTTCTTCCTCTTTAAGGATGATCTCTACCCCATTTGTTAAGATTTACATAACTTTCTGTTCCCATTGCTCAGGTGCTGGCGGCAGCCATCAGCTGCGTCAGTCCTCCTGACGCCATCCTATCTCCGTCTCATGTGTGTTTTGTTCTCGTGTGAGTCCCTCTTCTTCATTTCCCACCTTTCCACTCAGCTCAACTCTCCTTCCTCGTGCCAGGTTGCGAGATGTCTCTCATGCCAGTATGCAACAACTAAGGGCCCATTTGTCAGTCATGAAATGGTATTCCATGTTCATGTATCCCAGAGACATTGTGAATTCAAGTGAGTGACAGTATTTTGTTTGTAAAAAGAAAATCCTTTCTGAAGTGCAGTTTTTGTTGCTGCCATCTAAGAGTTAAGAGGTATGTAGTTAGAGAGCCAGACAGTGGCTTCTTTGATCACTCCCATAGGAGGCAGTGTGGAGGCGGCATGGCTCTCCATTCCCTGCGGGGTCCTGTGGCCCCAGCTGTCAGGTAGCTCCCTGTGGGGGCAGCATAGCTCTCCATTTCTTGCAGGTTCCTGCCTCCATGGCCCTGGCTTCACGTAGCTCCCTGTGGGTTCGGCATGGCTCTCTGACCTGCTGGGTCCTGCACACTGTGGTCCTGGCTCTCAGGCCTGTCCGCAGTCTCTGTGCAGCTGCCATGGGAGTGGACAGGGTGCAGGAGACAGGAGCTTCAGGCTTGAGCTCTGGTGTTCCCTGAGCTTCTGGCTGTTTCTCGATTGTGTGGAATGTGAGGGTCATATCCCCGGGAAAGTTTGCCATCTGGCAGTGATGGAGAAAACCTGCTTAAAGTGCCATGTGGAAGACAAAAAAACCCAGCTTCTCAGTTTATCACAGAGGATACAAGTGACATGAATTATAATTTGGGGTAGAGACCTGAAATTGCTCTTCCATACAAAAATAAATGGATTTTTTCCAGCTGTCTGAACGTCATTTCTAAAACACGAGAAGAGCTAACCTAGCCTAAATTAAACTCATCTTCCATTAATAAGATTGGATCACTGTGGGCCACGTGAGTGTGCTCTGAGTATATTTTTTTTCTTGAATGTTCTTTATTTTTTTGGCCAGGGCTGAACCTGCCACCTCCAGCATATGGGGCCAGCGCCCTACCCTTTTGAGCCACAGGTACTGCCCAGAACAGAAACTTGATTTTTTGGTTTTTTTTTTGCAGTTTTTGGCTGAGGCTGGTATATGGAGCCGGCACCCTACTCCTTGAGCCAGAGGCAGCCCCCTGCTTTGAGTATCTTAAAGCACATTGCGAAAAGTCTAATGTTTTGTACTATTTCCGCATCCCAACTCTTTTGGTTGATATGATGTTGGCACACATCTCTCCCTTGGCCTGCTGGTGCAGATTTGGGTCTATTTCTAATTAATTCACAGTTTTCGGGCAGATTGTGACAAAAAGGCATCACTGTGCACCTGCTAGGGCTGGGGAGGGGCTGGGGCATGGGTAGGACAGTTAGTCACTGCCTTGCCCTAAGACAGCTTTGCTTTCATTGTGACTTTGCCAGAGTTCCTGCTGCTGGTAGCTCTACAACAATGTTTTAAGGTGGTTTTTACTGGACCGACAAACCAGATTGTGGAGGTAGGAAGATGTGAATTAAAAAGATGACAGCACAAATGGGATAGTTTTTGAAAGGCCTTGTTCAAATGGGTCAGAGGAATCTCTGAGTGACATTGACTTGTTCTCATGTTTGGTGGATGGGAGAGCCACTAGGGTGGCACCTGGCCCCTGATCTGGGCCTTGTGGACTCACCTACCCCGCCCTGCTGGAGTCAGGCTTGCTTAGAAAGCCCAAGGGAGGCTCCTTGCTCCACCTTCCTGTGTATGAGAAGGGGAGGTAGGAGGGGGCAGCAAGTGTGTCCTGACTGACAGCATCTCCAACTGAGGTCTAGATTGTGACTTGGAATAGTCTAACAAAGACTTAGCAATGTTAAAACCATGGGAGATGTCTTTTTTTTTTTTTGAGACAGTCTCATTATGTTGCCCTTGGTAGGGTGCTGTGGTGTCACAGCTCACAGCAACTCAAACTCTTGGGATTAAGCAATTCCCTTGCTCCAGCCTCCCAAGTAGCTGGGACTACAGGTGCCCACCACAATGCCAGCTATTTTTGGTCATAGTTGTAATTATTGTTTGGCAGGCCTGGGCTGGATTCGAACCTGCCAACTCTGGTATAAGTGGCTGGCGCCCTAGCCACTGAGCTACAGGCACTGAGCCAAAGGGAGATATCTTTTTAAAACAAAAATTGGGGAAAAGGTAAATCTTTGTAGTGAGACTTTATTTTTAGCATTCTTTAGCAATCTGAAGTATCATAAATTATAAAAAATTTACCCATTTAATGAAATGGTCACACTCCATGTATTTAGAGATAATGAAAAGATAACGTTTTCTTAGCATTTAAGAAATTTTAAAGAAACAGAAGGTTTCTCCTGTTGGGTGTGGGGTGGCTCTCCCTCCAGCATGTGGTCTGCCCCATCTCCTGGCCTCTCACCTGCTGCTTTGTGAGATTTGTGCAATATTGCACAGATCTATCACTGATAGACTTTCTCTTGCTTCTCTTCCCAGTGCACAGAAGCCAAAAAGCATTGCTGGTATTTTGAAGGACTTTATCCAACATATTACATGTAAGTATTTGCATTTTTCTGTTGGTTTGTCTCTAGAAATTTCTCTTTAATGGTGTAGGTCTGGCCTGTGAGTGTGGCCTTGCTTCCACCCTCGGTGGCCAAGAACAGGCCCCTTGCTGATGGCATCCCACCTGCTCAGACCATGTTCTCTGGGAATAGCATGAAATTGGTCAAAGGGGACAAATGTCTAAAGGAAGAATTTACATTGGTTTAATACAAATATTCCTAGTCAAAGGGAGCAAGGATCATAGGACCCTGAGCAGGACAAGAAAAAGTCCTCAGATGAGCTGCTCTGAGCATGTGTGTGTGTGTGTGTGTGTGTGTGACAGTCATGACTGCTTGCTCCTGGCCCCTGTCCTGGGTCCTGCTCTAGGGCAGGTGCTGCTGCATTTTTTTCCCTGTTGATTTTATGTGTTTTAATATTTGTTGTGGTGACCACGAACTATGTGGAGCCACCTGCCTAGGCGGCTGAATCAACTTTCTGGGTTTTTAATTATTGTTTTTGATTGTGTTTTGAAGTAACTTGGGTTTTAAGTGGAATGCTCTGACCAAATTTTCCCAAAAGCTCTATGATTTTTAGTATAAATTTTGAAAAAACAGAGGCTTTTTTGGTATTGTTATAGCAGAATGCTATACATCTAGAGGGTAGAATAATTGGACAAGAGCTATTTTATTACTTTCATTGGCCAGGATGTTCGTTTTTCTTACCTGCCATTCTTGAGACTGATGTAGGAGGAGAAAGCCTGCCTGCCTATGTAGGGGACCAAGCTGGGAAGCTTTGTGGTATTCCTCATCTCAGCTCTTTGGGGACGAGCCCATGCCAGGAATCCCGGCAGAAGCCAACCCACTCGGAAATGAGGCAGCTGTGTAGGTCATGGACTATAATTACACACATGTCAAGTTGAAGAAAAATGGCTATGGGATAACAAGGAGATAAAATAGTTTGGTTCTTCTCAGTATAGTGAATTTTTGTCACTAAGCTTTATTTCCTCAAATCAGCCTCTGACACAAATGTGGATAACCACCTCCTCCTGTGTGTCTTTTGTTGAAAACACGTTTCTCTAGTTGTTTAGTAGGTGAGTTTTGTTAGAGATCATTGCTGTTCTTGTATTTGCTTCTTTGTTTGTTCCTTTGTGCATTTCATTTGTCTGCCATGTACTTTAGAAGTGTCTGCAGTGAGCCGAGGTTGGGGGGGATGCAGAGTCAAGCCCTACTCTGTCACTCAGGCCCTACAGGCTGCCTTCTCATGGCCCTCTTCAATGGAGAAGGATCCAGAGATCCTGGGTACACTCCCCTAAAAAATGAAAGTACAGTTGCTCTATTAGAACTCTGGAACTCCATGTGAAGTGAACAGGTGATCTAGGCCAGACATCTGTCCTCTGCCTCTCTCATGAATTAGCACCTGATGAAAGCTGGGTCACACCCACTGGTCTCTGAGATACTCCTTTGATCTTTCTGCTTTTCCCTCTGTCCCCAGTTCCCTTGCCTAAATCCAAGGCCGTTGACTCCAGTCTGAACCACTGCAGAGCTTTTCTGTGTCTCCCCTGGTTTATGTCATTTCTTTCTAAATGTTCATGTCACTTTTCTGCTTAAAATCATCAGGAACAAAGTCCATGTTCATAGCCACCTTTAAACAGTAGGCTTCCAAGGTGAGTGTCCAGCTTCACCCATGAGGGCAATGATTTATAAGTGTTTGCTCCCCAGTTCCCTGTGCCTGGGACAGGGTATGGTGCTCAGTGGTGGCCTCCCTTGTGGTTGCTGCCACAGAGTGTGCTGACCTGTGTGGGCTACTCTTCCTCTTCCTCAGCTCTGCCTAGCAGAGCCCCTGACTGGGAACCTCCCACCACCCACTAGGGATCTATTCCTCTTCCCCTTGGGCTCTGACAGGGGTCACTAGCAGCCTGTGCACTGTGCCACATGTGCTCTGGGCACATCTAAAACACATCATACTGCATGGGCTTACATAGCGCAGTGCCAGCCACAGCACACACTATACTTCCATTTTCACAGTTTGTTCTCTGCCGCGTGCTCTGCCCTGTTTTTATTCCCCACATTCTGACACACTCTCCTTAAACACAGATTTTTAAGCATGTAGGTTCCAGGGTTCAAAAGATCGGGGTTCAAACATTTGCTGTATTTATCTTTAATCAAGGTGAAATTTACAGAGCTGGTGGAACCATTTATGGTGAAGGAGTATGTATCCCCCCTGCTATGCACTACAGCTGCACCTCACTGTCACAAACCACATCTCAGTCCTTGTCAGCCAGATGCTTTTGTAAAGCATGAACTTGGATTCTGATCCTCTGGGCACACAGCCAAGGGCCTGCATGTGTCAGCACTAACATCCTGTATAACGTGTGTAGACTGTGGCTCACTTGCCCTCTGTTGCATACGCAGGCTGCATATTCTGCCTCCCTGAGTGTGCAGGACAGCAGACACAGGAAGCCCCCAAGCACACCTGGGGCCCAGGGAAGTGCCACAGAGCACAGTCAAGCAGCCAGGACACGTGGGGTTTCTGGTCCACATTCTGTGTTTGGGGGTATCCAACACTCACAAGCTCCTTTTTTTTTTGAGACAGAGTCTCACTTTATCACCCTTGGTAGAGTGCTGTAGCATCACAGCTCATAATAACCCCCAGCTCTTGGACTTAGGTGATTCTCTTGCCTCAGCCTCCTAAGTAGCTGAGCCCACCACAACGCTGGACTATTTTTTGTTGCAGTTTGGCTGGGGCCAGGTTCGAACCTGCCACCCTCAATATATGAGTCTGGCACCCTACTCACTGAGCCATAGGTGCCACCTCTACTCACAAGCTCTTACTGTTTCCTACCAAACTGGGTGATGAAGTGTCATTACCCGCAGTGATGTGGCTGTTCTACTTCATCTCAGCTTGTCTTTGTCAAGGACAGATTTGCTACAGGCTGGATGGCAGTCATGGAAGGTTCACAGCCCATCTGTACTGGAGTTAGTCTTGAGGGGAACATGCCTGTTGCTTCTTGAAGCTGGCTGCATGGTTTCTGCTGAGGTGGCACAGATAGCGGTGCAGGAAAAGGAGACTTAGGTCCAGCCCAAGATCACCCTGCTGCTTGGGGCCAGGCCACATGTAGTACCAAGGCCAGTGGCCTGCTGTTGGCACTCTGCACCTGATCTGGCCTCTGGACACGTGGTTAGTGTGCACATGTGGGTCTTGGCTGTCCCTTCACTCACTCAGCCATCAGGGTCTGCTGTGTGTCTGCCCTGCATAGGGGGTATGGAAAGAAAGCCTGAGTGGACATTGCCATAGGTATTGTGACCCCTTTGTGGGCTTCTTCTCAAATCAGGAGCAATATCTATCTTATCTAAGGAATGTCACCTGTCCTCTGAGATTTCCAGCCTGAGTGCCCTCAGGCCTAGAAGCTCTTCTCTACCCACAAAGAACATGGGGTCTGTGAGAGCAGCATAGAGGGGACCCGGGATTCAGGAGCAGGTGGGAAGGGGTTGGTTGTATGCCTATGTGCCAGCTTGTGGACAGGGACCCCAGGAGCCTCCTACAAAGTTGACAGAGGTAGGAGAGTGTCACAAAGAGGGGCATTAGTACTGCATGACCCAGCTGCCCCCAAGTCTGCCTTCATACAAGACAGGGCAGGGGAGGGTACCTCGAAGGAATTCTGTGTACCTCGGTAACTGAAACAAGTGGTGTCCAGAGGAGGTCTGGGGATTCTTTGGGGATGGAAAATGTTTTAGGTTCTGGAAGTCAGGAGGCTCTCTAGTCCAGCTCTGCCAACAGTTTGCTGTGTGATCTTGATCAAGTCTCCTGGCCTCTCTGGGCCCCAGATTCCTGGGCTAGACAGTCTTTAAGGTCTTAACCTACTCATTCCATGATGCTGGCTGTCTGCTTCAAATAATGTATAGCCTAGAGAATAGAAGATGGATGGCAGAGCAGGCCCGTGTGTGGTAGCCAGGGCAAGCAACAAATGTGAGTGAATTTTAGCTCATTAAGAATCCAACCTATTGGGGGGTTGGAGTGTGTGTGCACAAGATGGCTAACTAGAGCCAGCATTCAGCAGATACTCCCATCCAGAGGAAGAAATAATGGCCAGAACCAACCCAATAAAGCTGAAGATCGGGAACTGAGCTGAGAGAGAGGATTGATGGGTTTACATCATCCCTGCTGAGGCAAGTTGGGACTCCAAGGAAGTAAATGTCAGGTACAAAACCCATCCCAAAGAGGATGAGCATCCCCCCCTGCCCCCCAAGAGAGGGGTTTGCTGTGTTACCTCTACAAGCGATAGAGACCTCTTGTTTCATCACACGGGAGAGAGCAGCTGAAGGCCAGGACTCCTCCAGAGAGATTCTGCTTCAAGGACTGGGAGTCTCTTGCCTGGAATAAAAGTTGAACAAATATTTTCCCTGCCTTCCTGAACTCATAATCCACCCTTCCTTCCTCTCCTGGTGGTCTAGGAGCCTACCCCCTGCAGAATCTTGAGTGTCTGGTGAATCTTTGCTAGGGGAAGACATTTCATGGGCTGCTGTGGGGCAGCTGTCGTGAAACTGTAACTCTAGTAGAAGCAGGGAGTTGCAACAGGAGAGGGATTTGTCTGGTGCTGTGAAAGTGCATAGCAGCACAGGACTTGTGCTACCACTGGGGACAGTGATGACACTGCCTACCAGCAGCTGCCTGCAGCACTGCCCATTGGCAGCCGCCCACTCCTCCAACCCACAGCAGCAGCACTTCCCACTGGCAGCCATCTACTCTTCCAACCCATCCCACAGGGGCACACCTGACCCACAGTGCCACCTTTGACTGTGGTGGTGGCTCCATGAACCCTCCCATTGAGGTCAAATTGGGGAGAGACACCTCCCTAATTCTGTGGAACACTGAGGGAGCCTGACCTTACCCCAAAGGGTTCCAGAGGAGGAGTGTGGTCAAGGGCAGATGTTGTCTCTGAGGGAGAGAACCACACGCTGCAACAGTAACCTCTGGCTAGGTATAGACGAAGGTAGAACACTCCCCAGTTTCCAAT